AGGAAGTGGGAGGGGAGCTGTTGCATTGTGGTAAACTGTGATCAATATCATGAGACAAAGTATATGTGAACTGCTGTGTGGAAAGTGAATTTGCTCTGTAAATCTTCACCCAAATCACAATAATAAAAAAAAAAGAGCTACCATATGACCCAACAGTTCGATTCCTAGATACATACTAAAGAGAAATGAAAAATGTATATTACCTCAAAAACTTGTACACACATGTTTATAGCAACATTATTCATAATAGCTAAAAGGTGGAAACACTCAAATGCCCATCAACTGATAAATGCACAAATAAAACGTGGAATATATCCACACAATGGAATATTATTCAGCCATAAAAAGGAACGAAGTACTGCTTCAATATGGATGACCCTTAAAAGCATTATGCTGAGTGAAAGAAGCCAGTCACACAAGACCACATAGATTATGATTCTTTTTAAATGAAATACCCAGAACATACAAATCCACAAAGGCAGAAAGTGGATTAGTGGTTGCCTAGGAATGAGAGGGGATCATGAAAGGGGGTGATTGCTAAAGGGTATAGTTTCTTTGGAGATGATTAAAACAATTCTAAAATTTATCATGGTGATTTTTGCACACTCCTGTGAATATGCTTTTTAAAAATATTGAATTATATGCTTTCAATGAGTATATTTTATGGTTTGTGAATTATATCTCAATAAAGCTATGATAAAAAAAAAATAAATTACTGGGGCCGGGGTTGCAGGGATCTGTCCTTGGTTCTGAAGCATACTTGGATCACAGTCTGTCGGGGGTTTTTTTAGTTTATTTACTTGGCCATAGTTACTGTCTGTCTTCCCTCCAAAATGTAAGTTTCAGAAAACCAAGACCTTGTCTGTCTTGATTGCCATGTTCTAGTGCAGGCACATAGTAGGCAGTCAGTAAATATTTCTTGACTATGTAAATAAATGAATTAATTACTGGGGCCATTTTTGCCTTACCCAATTGAAGTGTGACCCTACAAGGTCTAGAGTAACAAAGCTTCTTGTTACTGAGAACTTACAATGTGCCACAAACTTAACATTCATTATCTCCCTTGTGTCTTATATGCCCTCTTAGACTATAAGGGCCATGAGGGGACTTGGTCGATCACTCCTCATTACATGCCCAGCATCTAGCATAGTACCTGGCACATAGTAGGTGCACAATGAACATGTTATGAATGAATGGATAAATCAGGACAATGGTTATTGGATTCATTCATTCAGCAAACA